CCATCTCAGTATTTCACTCCCTTCAAGTGAACAAAGATGGAGACGTCCCCATTTGTTCTCCCAGATGATAGAGACAGGTCCTGAGTTACTCCCAAGGCCCGCACGTTTTCAGCCAAGCCCCAAGCCAAATGTACTCACAGAGCGCAGTGTGACTCAGTTTCCCATTCTGCACAACAGGGCACCCTAAGTAACCCTGTCTTCACAGAAGCCCAGGAAGGGGTCTGAGGCCATTTGTATTCTTTTTTTTTTTTTTTTTTGAGACAGAGCCTCAAGCTGTCCCCCTGGGCAGAGTGCCGTGGCATTACAGCTCACAGCAACCTCCAACTCCTGGGCTCAAGCGAGACTCCTGCCTCCGCCTCCCAAGTAGCTGGGACCACAGGCGCCCGCCACAACGCCCGGCTATTTTTTGGTTGCAGCCGTCATTGTTGTTTGGCGGGTCCAGGCTGGGGATTCCAACCGCCACCTTAGGTGTATGTGGCTGGCGCCTTAGGCGGTTGGGCTATAGGCGCCGAGCCAGAGGCCATTTGTATTCTAAAGCAAAGGAAAGGAAGATGCTTTTGCAGTGGGGTGTCTGGAGAGGGTAACAAGCTCCCTCCCACCCCCACAGGGAACCAGCAGAGTTCAGGGGGTGCGGAGGAGGGGCTTCCCTTTCTCCATACTGCTTATAGAATGGATTTTTCCAGACAGCTCTCTGAGGTTGCTGCAGCCCTGTGCAGCGGGGTCCCACCAGGAACCACCTGAGTGGCTCTGAGGGACAACTGGCCCATTCCTCCTCCACCGTACACACCTTGAGCTGAAGCTATCAGGATGCAGCTTTACATTTCTAAGAAGTGCTGGGGCTGTGTCCTCAGAACGAGGCCAAGGGGCTGGGAAGCATAATGCCAGGCCACCAGCTGAGTCCCAAGGAGACATTTGCTCCATGATTCCTGCTGGTAGAATCTTGGCTCCCATCTAGGCCCCCAGGAATTCTGAATGTCCATCTGAGGCTGCCGAAGTGTCAGTGGGTTCTCTCTTTTGCTTCGCTAGTGACCTGTATCACCAAATGGGCTGGCCCAAGTAGACAAAGTTTTTGAGCGTTGTACCCTTTCCACGTGACTGAACGTTGGCTGTGAGCCAGCCAGGGCTTTCGCACGATGTTTCCCCTTGCAGCCACATTAGGGCACAAGACGCAAAGAGGTTACATCACTTGCTTGAGCTCAACAGCTGTCAGAGGTAAAGCAGGAGGGGGAGGCCTTTGAGACTCCGGAGCCCCCTTCCCTGGGGGACACTCCCTCCCTGTTACTGTGCTTGCAGTGCCAGCCTCCCCCCACCGCCGTCATAGAGGTGCCAGCATGCCCCCCACCGAGGCAGAGAAGGGTGGACAAAGGGCCATCCTCTTTCATACTTGGAAAAGTCAAACTTTGGGTCAGAGACTGAGAATCTTTATGGAGGGAGCAGGATATAGAGGAGTCCAAAGCAAAGTCAAATTCACCTTCTCCCATTTACCAGCAGTGGGAGGATGAGGAAGGGCTTGACCTGCAGGATCCTCATTTATAACACGATAGCAAGGACCTCTCCTGGTTGCTTGTGAGGATTTGATGAAATCGTGCAGGTTTATGTGGTTACTCTCCAGCCCTGTCCTAAGCCCCTTCCCAATGGGAGAGTTGATACTGGGTCCTCGTTCATCTTGATTATTCAATAATAATCAGATGCAGATGGAGTGTAGACAACCAAATCTGGGTGCAAAGCCTCCGTCATACCTAGATCTGTGACCGCAGCCAAGTCCCTAAAGTTGTATATGTTTTGTTCTTTTTTTTTTTT